TGGTCCATTTGAGAGATAGGTGGTGGTAATGCACTTATAAGTCTGCGATCCTCCGTAAAGCAAGAAGACGCGTCACACACGCGCACAGTTCAGACATCGCAGTGAATCAGAGGTAAAAACCGATATAAATACTGTTCAGTTTCTTGCACAGACCGATCGTTTCGTGTCTTTACACATCAATGTATCGTCACGAGCTGCAGGGTTTAATTTGGTTTTGTTTGTGTATGTTTTATGACTCTCAAAGCCGTGATTCCCATTCACTTCCATTATAAGACTGACAGACTGCAACGGTTTGACTTAAAAATCTTCGTTTGTGTTCTACTGAAGAAACAAAGTCACCTACATCTTGGATGCCCTGGGGGTAAGCAGATAAACATCACATTTTCATTTTTGGGTGAACTATCCCTTTAATTTCTCTTATGTCTGTGTAGTCAGAAGCGCTCATGCTCTGGTTTGGACTTTGGTTTCCAGGAGTCTGTGGTACAGGATCTGGGCCGATGTGGCCTCCAGCAGAGCTCCATTCAGCAGCTGGCGACGCCGAGCATGCTGGGAAAGAGTGCGCTCAGACAGCTGCACATGAGAGACTATTCGTACAGCTGGAAGTCCTGAGATCCGGCTCTGGGAGAACATTAATAGAGAGCTGACAAGCCCTGTCTATTAATATCTGTGGCTTCCTGTGACGCTTACTTACTCGCTTCTTCTTTATAGAGACTGGGCTTGAATATAGTGTAGCTTTTAGGAGTTTGGACGGTCTAACTTGTTGTTTTAAATCAGTTATATTTTTATGGGCTGCAATGTTTTAGACTGCATGTGTGATTTACAGTTTAATTTTTAATCGGTGTCTCTTGATGAGAAACAACTCATGACTTCCTTGGGAAGGAACATGTAAAACTGTTAAAAGCTCTCATGATTATATTTTTGACTGTTGAAATCCTTTTTGCCAGTGTATTTATCACACTTGTATTAATTTATTAAATGAATAAGCTGAAAAACTTTTATAAATAAATGACATGAAATATTGATTTGAGTGTACATAATATTTATATGTAAGAGTGTATATTTATATAATTTGTTCCTTCAGTTTATATATTAAAATAGTGTAACTTAGTTATAGTTAGGTAGGTAAATGGATAGATAGATAGATGGATGGATGGATGGATGGATGGATATATAGATAGATGGATAGATAGATAGATAGATAGATGGATGATGGATGGATGGATGGATAGATAGATAATATATATAGATGGATGGATGGATAGTTAGGTAGGTAAATGGATAGATAGATGGATGGATGGATGGATAGATAATATATATAGATGGATAGATAGATAATATATATAGATGGATGGATGGATGGATAGAGATGGATGGATGGATGGATAGATGATAGATGGATATATATATATAGATGGATGGATGGATGGATGGATAGAGGGATTATGGATATATATATATAGATGGATGGATATAGATGGATGGATGGATGGATGGATGGATGGATAGATAAAAATATATAAATTGAGGGGGGAAAAAGCAAAAAATCTGGATTACTAATAAATAATATTTATTTATTGCATTTTAGGGCCATAAAGACCATTTTCTTTGTGAAATTATTTTTTTAAAAACTTAACATTTAAGATGATGATAGATATAAATTAAAAAAAATAAATTTTAAAATGTTTAATGGTATGCACATTGTGGTAGTGAAATGGACATTTTTTTAGCCTTTTAACATGCAGTTTAATATACATGTCTACCGGGCAAAATAAAACATTAATTGGTGCAGGTGTTTGTTCTTTTGTAAGTCGCTTTAGATAAATCTATTTAAGCAATTAGGCTTTTACAAACTGCTCGTCTTTGTGTCATTGTCCTCGTGTGAGTCAGATCAGTCTTGCTCGTCTTAAAATAGAGCCAGAAGTGTTGAAGAGTGTAAATACTTGAGGTCAAGCCAAGAGATGCCATCATTCAGAAGATGATCCTGGAGCCCGTGTGCCTCCACGTCTAACGTTTCACAGCCACGACTTATACATTAAAAATACTTAGAGTCAGAGTGTTGGACAAAACATGCATGAAGGACGAATCAAGCCTAAGCTATTAAATCCATACCAATGCACTGCAGTATTGTATTGTAATGGCATTACTGCAGTGTAATGTAATTAATTGTGATGTTGCATCAGGTCATATTTTAGCACGCATGTCACCTCGAGCCCTAAACATAAAGCAGCATCTGTGCAGCATGACATTTACGGACAGATTCATGTTCTCTCTGTTCAGCATGTTACTCGTCCCTCAAGCGCACTGAACTTCATTGTGAACTCAAGACGAGGCGAGGTGAGAGTGACTTGAAAAACACTGAATGAATGAATCAAAAGCACCAGCTGAATAACTGAGGACTTGGTAAGCGCTGCTTAATTTTCTAATTTTATCATGCACTTCAACTCTTACGAACAGTACTGTGGCTTTACTACGGTGCAATGATAGTTTCAGCTGGTAATATTGATTAACAATATTGGAGAAGCATCTCATTTCACTGCTGAATACTCATTTTATTTATCATGAAGCAGTGAAATTAGAAAGGTGAAATTAAGGTGTCAATATGTATGTTCATATATGCAATTGCGATTAAACTTCGCAATCACAAAGATTAATTGTAACATATAATCATTGCAGTTAATAGTGTTCACCGTCTGTTTGATATGTATGTTCATATATGCAATTGCGATTAAACTTCGCAATCACAAAGATTAATCGTAACATATAATCATTGCAGTTAATAGTGTTCACCGTCTGTTTGATTACATGTAATTTGTAACTAACTGCATTATATTTCTGCCATAGTCACCACTAATAACCTACTCTTAAATATAATGTATAAACTTCACATTTTCTGTAAAGCTGCTTTGCAACGATTTGTATTGAGAAAAGCGCTATACATATAAACTTTAATTGAATTGAATATCTTGTCTTATATAAAATATGTCTTATGTAATACAGTCTATTAATGCATACATTTTTTTCAGGTTTAATTTTTCTTTCCTCAATTTTGTTTGCCTTTCCATCAAACTTGATTAACTAATATAAAATATATCTGATGCATACACTATCAGTCAACATAAATGCTCAAATACAGGTTAAATCTCTAATTCTGATGACTAAAGTACATAACCAGTGTTGTAAATGTTAACTAAAATTTTAATTTAATTCCGCAGGCCGCGCTGCATGAGATAATTCATCTGCGGTGTCTGGAGTGTTGTGTGTGGCTCTGGTTGCAGGCTCAGGGTGACACACGTCAGCACGATTAAATAAAGCTTTCGAAGCGTTTGTGGGAGTCACGGAGGCGGATGATCCTTCTGCTGCTCAAAACACCGCTCACCACGCGCTCCACCTCAACAATATACCTGATCATTCATATTGTTTAGAAGTATAGCATGCATTAGGTTTCAAATAATAGTTTTTTTTTCATTATTTAACAGGTTTTCTGAGAGGAAATGCATATTCTTGGGACTACTTTCTTTTTTTTTATAGCCATCAAGGGTAAGTAATGAATTTCTTCTGTTTAGTGTATTTGCTGATATTAAAGGAATTCACGCAAAAATGAAAATGTGTCGAATTTACTCACTGTGTCAGGCCTTCCAAGATTAGGATGAGTTTGTTTCTTCATCAGGTTTGGAGAAATGTAGCATTGCATCAGTGTCTCACAAATCCAGCCACATATTTGTTTAGAGCTGTTTAAACGCTGCTTGATCTGTGCAGATTTCTCTCCTGATTCACACCAGACCACTTTTTCACTTTATTATGGATTATGGACTCGTATTTTAGTTATAAAAAAATGTCTTGATGCTGGATTTGTTTCAGCTTTTGTCTTCTCCAGATGTTAACTGATGGACTGGAGTGCTGTGGATTGCTTGTGGATTATTGTGATGTTTTTATCAGCTGTTTGGACTCTCATTCTGACGGCACCCATTCACTGCAGAGCATCCGTTGCTGAGACACTGATGCAATGCTACATTTCTCCAAACCTGATGAAGAAACAAACTCACCTACATTTTGGAAAGCAAATGTTCCTTGTAAAAGCTCTAGTTTGATGCATTTCCTCCTGCAGTCTGTCTAGGTGTCTACCTTCAGACGTCGGAGGTCCAGGTGTATGTTGGAGAAAGCGTGATCTTGCCCTGCGATGGTTCAGGGTTCCCTGTGGAGGAGCTGCATGTTCACTGGGAGGCGATGGGCAAAGACGTGATCTCTCTGCGAGGAGACGTCGTCACGGTCGGGAGAGGGTTCGAAGACCGGGTGAACTTCCTCAGCGATCCAGCAGAGTCTGAGGACTTTTCCCTCATTCTGTCAGATGTGATGCTGAACGATGGAGAGATATACGAATGTCTCTGGGAGGGAACAAAACCCATTTGCTCTGTGCTACTACAAGTGTCCAGTAAGTACAGTAATGCTAGCTGACAAATAGTAGTTATAAATGTATACACTATTAAAAAAAGACATCTCAGGAAACAGTGCCTTAATTATTTTTCATTGTTTAATTTGTAAAAAGGTACTTCTGAACTGTCAGGCTTAAAGTATAACTGCCATAGACACTGAGGAACCATCATTATTATAGATTAGTGGTTAACAAATATGTTTTCATTGGCCGATTCTTACTATTACAATACCTGTGGTTCTTTAAATTATTTATCGTTACTAGTCATGTTTAACCCTACACTAGGGTTATTATAGTTAACCAAACTAAAAAATTATAAAGAAATTGTTATTTTTTAAATAGACTAAAAAAAAGAACTAGAAATAAAATAAATGTTTAAAATATAAATACAATATATTTTTTTAAATCATTTAGTTGCCAAAACTACATTTCTCATTTAACTTGATGTACTAAAATAACTAAAACTAAACCTGAAATAAAAACTATATGGAGAAAACTAACAAAATTGACAAAAACACAACAAAATTACTATAACTTTAACTATAAATGTAGCTAAATATATTTTTATTTAAATGTAACTAAAAATAAAAACTAATTCAAAATATAAAAAAAACTATAATATTATTTAAATGATACTAAAATAACTATATTATTTCAGAATTTACTTTTTTTCTGTAAACTATAGATATTTTTAATATTCTCATGTTTTCTTTTTTCGTTACACACCAGTAGACTTCAGTTTATTAATAAATGTGTCTAAGTTCAGGATCCTGTTAGTTACATCAGTAGAAATCTGTGGGGGCACAAATGGCACAGTTTCCTGAGAATGACCCCAAAAAATGAAATTCTTAAAAATATAGGTCCCTCAATAAATTTGCAGTAAAGAACTTGTAATGAATCATTTTAATTGTACAGAGTTTTTGAATTGACTGTTTGGTTAAACTAAAATAATAAAATTAAGTAAATGTAAAAATAATAAATAGTAAATTGTGCAGTAATTGTTTGTGAACTGCTGTTTAGTATAAAAATGTATTTAATATAAAAAAAAAAAAAACGTTCTGGGAAAAAAACAGTAAACGTGTCTCATTTGTTAAGAAATACAAAGATTTCACCAAAGTTTCTCTTTTGAAATCAGAACCTGATTTGGAACCTTTATTTTTAAGAAACGTCATAATATCAGTCTTCCTATAAAATAAGCTTCAACAGGTAAAAAAAAAAGTGTAATATAAAACTCTCTCTCGTGTTTCTGCAGCACCAGCGGCTTTCACCGATCATGTTGAAGGGTTTGAAGGCGAGGATATCACTTTGGAGTGCTTTGGAAATATCCCTAAAAACAAACCATGGGAAGACATTTACATCCAGTGGCTGAAGGATGAGAGAGAAATCCTGCGCTTGAGCTCTGGAAAGATGGATGTCAGTATTGATTACAGTGTCCTGAGGTTACCGGCCAAACACGACATCAGTCGCGGTCTCTTCTCGCTGAGCATCCCGTCAGTCAGTGTTGTCGACCGGGGCGTTTATCAGTGCCGTTACAAGAGCACCGACTACGAGGCGCCACGGAGCGGATTCCCGGAG